AATCCTCTCCTCTAAGAGAGCTCTTGGGGCATGTTCTATGATTGTCCCAGAAAAGGAGACAAGAGAGAAAATAGCTGATAAGTTTATCTTAGGGAAATAAAAGCTCCAGGCCTGAGGTCCCAGAGCAAAGGACTGAGGCTAGGAGACAGCTTAAAGTCGTGACATGGTCAAGGCGAGTTAAGTTAAGGCGGGGAAAGCCCTTGGAATCCTGTGAGGCTGAACAGGCACAGAGAGGAGAGTAGGAACTTGGAACAGCCGGTGCTGCTTTGCCATGAATTTTGTTTGGCATACTGCCCATTACAAATGGGGTGTGTGTGTGTGTGTGTGTGTGTGTGTGTGTGTGTGTGTGTGTGCCTTATCCACAAGACACAGAGAAGAGTCTGTATCACTGGTCAAAGCCCATAGGGGATGGAGGAGAGTAGCAGGTAGGCAGGAGCCAAATAAGGTTGCAAAGAGTGGAAGAAAGGAGACTTCTTCCAAAGTGGTGAGCAGCCCTGAAAAAAAGGAGGAAGTCTTCCCCAAACTGCATCAAGTTCTGTTTCATGTAATCATCAGGTTATAGGTTTAGAGTTGGAAGAAAATTAACAGGCCATTGAGGCTGATACCTTCTCTCCCTTTTTTATACTGATGAGGAAACTGAAGCCCAGAGTCAGCATTTAATAAATGCTTGGATTATAAGGTTTTAGCTGCCTTACCTCTCGACTCTTTAAGTCCAATACCTAGGGTCACAAAGCTAGTAAGTGCCTAAAACAGGATTTAAACCCAAGTCTTCCTGACATCCGTGCTCTAGCCTGAAAAAAGTCTACAAAGGTTTAACCTCGTTCAAGAAATGATAGCTTTGAAAGCTGGTTCAGTATTAAATGTATCTGTGGGTGTTCAGATACGCGCTTATGTGAAAATGATTTAAATGTATGTACACTGGCATGTTAGAGAATACTCTATTTTGGGAAAAGTACTTTTTTTCTTTCCTTTTCTTTTTCTTTCTTTTCCTTTTTTTTTTTTTTACAAGTTGCGTTGTACAAAAGACCTTGGGTAATGGTGGGAAATTATGTTGGCTTCTAACTGAGTACTTGGGCAGAAGTAGATGAAGGTAGGATAAAAAAAAAAACTATGAAATTCTATCAGGGCTGGAGTAAAAAAAATGGTGATCATGGGGAGGGAAGTGATGATTCATATGATTAATAAATTCAGAGGTCCTTGGATTTTGGTAATTTGCAAGTTGATTTTTAGATGACTACTTTTTCATACTTGACCCACATAGGACAATAAATTTCAGCCCTTAATTAATTGTAGTGGTGCTACATAAATTTGTGGATCAGTATATGAGCTGTGAGTAAACTTTTTCTACATTTTGCTTATTTGGTCTTATTAATTAGAATTCTTTACAGTTATAATTTTGTTAAATGTGTATTTAGTAGAATGAAATTTTAATTTATTTCTGGAAATTGAAATTTCATATGATTGTAATTGGATGTAATTAATAGGCTCGTAGATATAGATCAGGGAGAATATCTCACCCAACCTCCGCATTTTAAAAATGAAGAAACTGAGGCCCAGAGAGGTGATTCACCCTGTGTCACATAGGTGGTAATTGCAAAACTGTGTTTTGAATCCAGGTCCTCTGACTCCAAATCCACCCTTTCCCCATCCCTGCATTACATTGTAGCTCATTGTTTAGATTAAAATTGACCTCAGTGGCATGTAGGATACCCTGCTGATGGGAAAAAGGAGTCCTCCCTACGGGAAGTGGCATGTCACTTGTCATCTTTGGTGGTGAATCTCCTATCTCCCATGGACTATTTAATTGGGAAACCAGGCGTTAACAATCTGGACATAGAGAGTGTGGTGTGGAAGGCTAGCTGGACTTGGATTTGAATCTGGGCTTGAATCTCGTCTTTGACACTTGTGGAAGCATGAAGTTTCTCACATAACCTCTTAGGGCCTCAGTTTCTTCTACTATAAAGTGGTAATAATAATGCCTGAAGCTCCTATTTCAAAGGGATATTGAGAAGAAGTAATATATGTGAAGTGCTCCCTAGCATTAAAGCACAATATGAGGTTTGGGTATTTTTCTTGATGTAGGAATTGGGAATTCAAATAATATTTGTGGATAAGCTCTTTTGTAAGCACGTGATAAGTTGTTTTTGAGACAAACCTGAGTTGTTGTTGTTGTTTGGTCATTTCAATTCTGTCTGACTCTTTTTGACTCCATTTGGGTTTTTTGTTTTTTGTTTTTTCTTTTTTTGGTGAGGCAATCGGGGTTAAGTGACTTGCCCAGGGTCACACAGCTAGTAAATGTCAATGGTCTGAGACTGGATTTGAACTCATGTCCTCCTGACTTCAAGGCCAGAGCTCGATCCACTGCCCTGCCTAGCTGCTCTACAAACCTGAATAGGTATATTTTAAAACAATATTATAAGGGGCAGCTAGGTGATACAGTGGACAGAGTACCAGCCTTGGAGTAGGGAGGACTTGAGTTCAAATCTGCCCTCAGATACTTACTAGTTCTGTGATCCTATGATCACCTAACTTGCCACAACAAACAAACAAAACAGACTCCCAAAACAAAACCCAATATTGTAAAACCAATAGCACTAAAGTGGAGGTAGGTTGGAGATAGTAGAAGGTGGAGAGTCAGAGTAAACAATACACCCAGAGTGAAGAGATAATATGAAATAAGACTGTGGAGAACTGTCATTGTAGTATATAGGGACCATTCAGCCATGACCATAAAATAAAATTACTGAAGGGAAAGTGATGATTGTTCTGAGTGGCTGATGGGATAGAAGGCAGTTTAGTGGCAGATGAGGTAACACCAGAGGGATTCTGATTTTGACTAAGTACAATGTCTTATTTCCAAGAAGGCATAACAGAAAATAAACAAGTAGATTTATGGTTATTAGGTAGAGCCAGATGTTCATTTCTACATTCCCAAAGAGAAGAAGAATGTAGTCCATAGGTGGTTACATGGATTTAAGGTATGGAAGCATGCCTCGGCACAGCACATGAACAGCTTTAGCGACCAGTCTTAGAGACCACGAGAACTGGCTGTTTTATTATCTGGAGAGTATCAGAGATGAGGGTTGTGCCAGAATCCCCCAAATTTTTTAGACTTGTGGACAGGATGTAGCAAGGATAACCTTGCAACTAATCCCATTAAAAGTGTGGATGATATTGACCTGATCCCTAGCTCCCTAGGTAGGGATGAAAGTTTCTCTTGCTGGTGGGTCAAGACAGCATCTATAGGGAAGGAGAGTGTGGCTACTCCACACTTGGTAATTCTCTTCTGTTAGTGGGGCATTCCCCACATCCTCGTTTCCATGTGAGGGAAATGGAAGAACTTTGGGAGATCCTGGAAAAAAATGCAACTTTCTACCACTCAAAGTCATCTGGGCAAATTGGGAACCACATCGTGATGGGGAAGCTTCTGGACATGGTCAGAGCTGGCACAGGGAGAATTGGGTGCAAATGGCACAGAGTATATACCTGGTTGAGGGCCCTTCTATTCACTTTGTATGTGTTTTGTGTTTGCTTATATGTGTACCTGTTGTTTACCCCAATAGAATATAAGCCCATTGAAGACAGGGACTGTTTCATTTTTGCTCTTGTATTCCTGGTGCCTTGTACAGTGCCTGGTACAAAGTAAGTGTTTAATAAAGTCTTATTGATTGATTCATTGACTGATATGCTACTCAAATATTTGGAAGGAGAATGGGTTAGCTACCGTAGGCCCAGCCATGGTCTCTTGCTCAGTCCATTGGAGAGATTTCCTATATGGCCATGTGTAATCTGTTGTTGTTTAGTTGTTTCAGCCATATATGACTCTTCATGACCCAATTTGGGGTTTTCTTGGCAAAGAAACTGGTTTGCCATTTCCTTCTTCAACTCATTTTATAGATGAGAAAAGTGAGGAAAACAGGGTTCAATAGGTTCTAGGGTCACACAGTACGTGTCTGAGGCTAGATTTGAACTCAGGAAGATGAATCTTCTCGACTTCAGGCCTGGCACTCTATCCACTGCACTACCCTGCCATCCTTGAAGAAATCATAGGACCCATTAAAAAAATGAGTAGAAAGGAACAGGGCTTGCTCCAGGTTACACTGTGTCACTGGCAGAATCTGGAGTAGCACCTAGGTCTCTTGACCATTCCACGCTCTTTTCTTTACACAACACTGTCTCCCCTTCTTTGCCAGCGTGACATTAACTATCCAAAATGAAATATGAAGCAGTCGGTCGAGCTTTTAGTTGGGTTCATATGCTGCGTTTTTGGAAAGACTAGGTGATTGGGAAGACTTTGCTAGGTGTCGTGCAGATGTTGTATCTTTTAGACACGGCCTCAAAGTGGGGAGTTTCAGCCTTGTCCAACTCCACTCCATCACAGAGGGTAGGAGAGTTGAAAGTAGTTACGTGCTTGGAATCATGAGAGATCTAGGTCTAATCCTGCCTCAGATAACTTGATAGCTGTGGGACCCTGGGCAAATCATTCACCTTTCCTGAACCTTATTCCCTTTGTAAACCTCTATGTATCATATAGTACAACTGTGTTATTATCAGATTAAGATACTGAAGGCACCTTAGAAATCATCAAGGCTAACCTCTTCATTTTACAGAGGAGGAAACTGAGGCCCAGAAAGGGTAAGTGATTGACCTAAGACCTCACAGACAGTGTGGATAAGTGACAGACAAAATTTGAACCCATGTTTTCTTCATTTCCATTGCTTTGAATCTGCAGCCTGAGGACTGTGATCCAACCCTCTTAATAGTCAGCCGCTGGCAAATGTTATAAAACTAGGCTCTGTTCCTTCCTTGGCCTGAGGGACCTCCCAGGCATGAAGGGAGAAGAGGGGACTCGTGAAGGAATGTTTCTCTGATGGACTGTACTTCCAGGCCAGACAGTCCCAGCCATGCACCAATAAGAAAGAAATAACTGGGCCCCAAGATCCCTAAATGGGGGGAAGGGGAGAGAAGCAGAAGGATAGGGGTGAGGGACAGCCACGTACCAGAGTGTGAGCTGAAGGCATTGTAGGGAAGCAGTCGATGACAGCAGCAGCAGCAGCAGCAGCAACAGCAAGGATGCCTCCCTTGGACTGGCAGAGAGAGGATGGAACAAGGCAATTACAGATAAAAAGGGGTGTGTTTGTGGGGACTAGGGGGGTGGGATGGTTCAGAGCCTCAGCCCCTGACCATGTCTGGCCTAGATTCATGTTGGCAAGAGAGGGGGGCCGTGGGCAGCCTCGGAACCTGCCCAAGGTGCTGCCTGGGCTGTTGACAAAAGGACAATGTCCTGTGTGTCTGGTGGAGCCTGGCTGGACAGCATCTCTGCTCTTGGCTTGTGGCCACCTGACCACCAGCACCCACAGCACAGGCTGAGACAATCAGGTTCCCTGGATGGACTTTGGGGGGAGGGTGAAGGTTGGGGAGGTGCGGTCAGAAGAGCAAACGTCCTCAGCAGTTTCTTTGGCTGCAGCTGGAGCCCAGCCTAATCTTACAGGGAAACAGCTCCTGAGCTCTGCAAAGAAGCCATGTTTTCAACAAGAATCGGGAGGTTTGTGCTGTAATTCCTGCTCTGCCACTAACCTATCCTGTGACCTTGGGCAAGTCACTTCCAATTTCTCAGCCTTAATTTATCTGAATGTAAAATGAAGGGTCTGGAACAGACAGTTCCTGACATCTTCTGCAGCTGTAACGCTCAATGCTCAATGCTCTAAGATGCCTTCAGCTCTGACCTTCTATGTTCAAAGATGCATTCGCCCCTGACATTCTACATTCCATATTCTAATATCTATTTCAGCTCTGACATTCTACGTTCTGTGTTCTAGAGTCAATTTTAGCGTTGACATTCTATGTTCTGTGTTCTAAGGCCTGTCTTAGCTCTGGCATTCTAGATGGGATAGAGAATGTATCCTTTTATTCAGAGGAAATATCAGGTATTTCTTAAAATTAGAGAGATATGGAAGTGGCATGATTATTCCAAAGACTTCGAAGACTGCAGTTGTTCTCAACTTTGTTTAGAGGAAAGTTCCTAACCTGTGAGATGGAAGTATGCCTAGAGGAGGGCCACCCGGATTGTGAGGGGGAATTGAGACCATATTCTATGATGACTGGTTGAAGGAACTCTTCCAGGCCGCAAAGTCTGGGGCAGGGTGGGGTGGTAGTGGAGAGATGATGATAGCTCCCTTAACATATTCATATGGCAGAGGGATTGAACTTGTTCTGCTAGGCCCTGGAAGAAAGAATTAATAACAATGAGTAAAAGTTGCAGAGAAGCAGATTTAAGCTGGAGGTAAGAAAAAAAAATCCTTAATAATTAGAACCATCTAAAAGTAGAATGGGTAGTTTTCCCCTCACCAGAAATCTTCAAGCAAAGGGTGGATGACCATGTGTCAGGGATATTACAGAGAGGATTCTTGCTCAGGTACCAAGTGGACTACATAGGCCACAGATTTAGGTAGGTGCCATTATTATCCCAATTTACAATTGAGGAAACTGAGGCAGATAGAGTGACTTGACTAGGGTCATATACACTAGTATGTGTTGTAGGCTAGATTTGAATTCAAGTCTTCTGACACCAAGTCCAGCATTCTCTCCACTGCACAGACTTAGCTGCTTCTTATTTAGGTAAGAGTATACAAAACATGCTCCTTATTGTACTCTTATGTGGAAAATGATGCAAATATTATTGTCTCCATTTTACAGATTGGGAAACTGAAGGTCAGAAAAAGCAAAATGACTCATTCTGGATCCCATAGCTAGCCAGCAGCAGATGAAACCCTTGAACCCAAATCTTCAGCCTGCTAGGCCAGGTCTCTTCCTACTGTACCAGCCTCCCAACAAGGCTCTTCTGTGAGCAAGGCCTGGGGGGTCTGGCAGAAGGAAGGCAGGAAATAGATCTGGGGAGGCAGCACATCATGCCCTCCCCCAAATGGGTGACAATCTGTGGGAGAGCAAGGGGAGGGGCAAGGAGGTTGTGCCTTAGGACATGTTTTCAGAGTCATCTTCCTTACAAAGTTTCCAGTGATAGAGCTGAGCCCTGCTTGGTATTTGACCAAATATGGTGGTATTTCCCCATATCGTTCTGCCCTTGCCAGCTCTTCAGTCATATAGTGCAAACCTCCCCTGGACCCATCCATCTTGTGACATTCCAAAGTGGTTCTCGTCCTACAAATGAGCTTCACTTTCCTGCCTTCTTCCCTTTCCTATAAATAACCCTGGGTGGGGGTTGGCAGGACTGGAGAGCTGTGGGACTTTGTCCTCAGCCTTCTGCCTCTTCATCCCTCTCTATATTCTTTATTATTGAGCAGGAGCACAGGGGTCTGTCTATCTGATCCCTCCCGTCACTAAGGAGTCTGAGGACCTTTTCCCTCTAGGTCTCTGATCCCATATGATTCCCATGATCATCTCGTTCACAGTGATACACAGGTGACTTTCCATTCTACTCATTATTAAAGACTTCATTCCACTTCCAAATTTGGAATCAATTGCATGACTTGGGAGACACTGGCACAGGACCACCTAGCATGGCATGCCAGCATCAAAGAAAGCACTGTGCTCTACGAGCAAAGTAGAATTGCAATAGCTCAAAAGAAACATGAGACGTACAAATTTAGAGACATTTCCATCCCAAATGTTCATATGGACTATTTGTGCCTGAATTGTGGTAGAACCTTCTGGGCTTGTATCGGTCAGATCAGCCACAATTGGACACACTGTACCTTGACTCCAACATAGTGAGGTCATTTTGATCCTCTTCGAGAACAGAGGATAACAACCAACCAAAGACCTCACGAAGCTCATAAAATAGATAGGGCTTTAGAACACAAAATATAGAATGTCAGAATTGGAAGGAGACTCGGAACATGGAACATAGAATGTCAGAGCTGGAAGTAGCCTTAGAAGTTAGAATATAGACTGCCAAAGTCTATAGACTTAGAATATAGATTTTAGCTCTGAAATTGACCTTAGAACATAGGACATGGAACGTCAGAGCTGAAAGGGGCCTTGGAACATAGAACATACATCCAGTATGTTCTTCAGTCAGCTGGAAGATGACGTAGAACAGATTGTCAGAGTAGGAAGTAGCCTTAGAACATGGAATATCAGATCTATCTACCAGATAGATCCCCTGTGCTCCCCAGACCTTAGACCATAGAACACAGGGTTTCAGAACAGGAAGGTGCTTTAGAACATAGAATGTCAGAGCTGAAAGTGACTTTGGAACCTAGAACATAGAATGTCAAAGCTGGAGGGGCATTTAGAACACAGAGCACAGAATTTCAGAGCTAGAAGAGACCTTAAAAGACGAAACACAGAATGCCAAAAGACTTTAGAACATGGAAGATAGCAGAAGTAGGAAGTGGAACTTTGTCTCTGGAACCCACCCAAAGCTTTTTCTATGGCAGCACTTATTCTCTCATACCACCAAGACAAGGCTGGTCTTGCAGAAAGTCTGACATAGACAAGACTTGCTTTAGGTGTTTCTTGCTTCCCTTTGCAAATATCCTTTGCTCCAGTCCTCCGTCGCTGCACAATGGAATTGGAGGATCTCAAAGTCGGAGGGGAAGCTCAGGAGGCCACCTATTCTCATAAATACTGAAAATCTCCTCTACATCTCCCTCTGCAGACCTCTAGTGATAGGAAATTCACCATTGGCTAAAGCAGCCCATTCTTACAAGTTAGGAAATTTTTCCTCAAATCAAGTTGAAATCTGTCTCTAAAACTTTCACCATTGTTTATACTCCTTCTCTTTGGGGATTAGTAGAACAGGTCTGAGCAGAATGCTAGCCTGGAGTCAAAAAGACTTTTCTTCCTGAGTCCAAATCTGGCTTCAGACACTTACTAGTTGTGTCACTCTGGGCAAGTCACTTGACCCTGTTTGCCTCAGTTTCTTCATCTATAAAATGAGTTAGAGAAGGAGATGGTAAACCATTCCAGTATCTTTTCCAAGAAAACCCTAAATGGGATACTGAAGAGTTGGCCATGACTGAAAAATGACTTAACTGAATAAGAACACGTCTAAAGTCTTTTACACATGATAACTTTTCAAGTATTTAAAAACACAGCCCATGTTCCTCCTCTTTTTCCCACTATACCTTCTTTTCTCCAGGTGAAATATCACCATTTCTTCAACTGATCCTTATGTGGGTTAATCTTGAGGCCCTTCCCCATTCTACTCACTCTCCTCTGGAGGCTCTCCAATTAATCAATATCTTTCCTAAAATATGTCACTTAGCCAATCTGTTGCCAAATCCACTTAGGTCTACCTCCAAACAAACTGTCTCACATTTTTCCTATCCCTTACACTTCCACTACAACCACTCTGGTGCAGACTCCCATCACCTCTCATTTGAACTATTGTAATACTTTTCCTACCTTTAGTCTCTCTTCCTTGGATCAGTCCACATTCTGTCTGGATAATCGTACTTGAATTGCTTCTCAGATCATAGTACTCCCCTTCTCAGAAACGTTCAATGGTTCCCCATTCCCTCTGAGATAACATCCTGTCTCCTCAGCGAAGGTCCTCCACACCAGATTGCATAGCCAGTTCAAGACAGAACCTGGCCTCCAGTTCTAGTTGTCTGACCCTGTTTGGTACTTTTTCCACTACTGCAGATCTGTTTCCTCTCAGTCTGAGTCTGGGTTTATTTCTGATCTTTTCTACTAGAGGACAGGGGCATCTAGGTAGCAAAGTGGATAGAGCACTGGGTTTGGAATCAGGAAGACTTATCTTCCTAAGTTCAAATCTGGCCTCAAATACTTACTAGCTTTGTGACCATGGGCAAACCCTGTTTGCCTCACTTTCCTCATCTGTAAAATGAACTGGAGAAGGAAATGGCAAACCACTCCAATATCTTTGCCAAGAAAACCCCAAATGGGGTCACAAAGAGTTGGACACAACTGAACAACATCAACAAACTAAAGGATGGACTACCTCCAAACAGGAACTAGGTATTATTCAGCTTTATCTCCTCCACAGGGGCCTTAAAACAAACACAGAAGGCATTGGTAACTGTTGAATGAAGGAGAAGATCAGCAACCTGTTGAAGAATTAGGGACGTAAGGTTGATGACGGTGGTGGGAGGCCTTGTTTGGCCGCCAGGTGGCGATGCTATAAAGTCAGTTTCCTGGCTCTGTCGGGAACTCATTTTCTGCTGCTGGACTTTTGCTCACACAGTTCTCCACCCTCACCCCCCAACCCAACACTCAGAATCATAAGATCATAGACCTAAAACTGGAAGGGACCTCAGATATTGTTTAACTTAATCTTCTAATTTTATGGATGTGGTCCAGGGAAGTTCACGGATTTGGGCAAGGATCATCTGGGTTGTAAATTCAGAGTCAGAATTTAATGGCAGGTCTTCTGATTCCAGAAATTGTGTGGGATCTTTTCCACTGTCCTTTGGAAATCCTACCTAGTCTTCAAGGCTGAGTTCAAAAGCAAGCCTCTCCCAGTGGAGATCCTTCCAGGCAGCAATGATTCTTCTTTCTGATTTTGTAGAGTAATCTGTTTGTACCTCTCATGCACTCAGCATATTTCATAATAATAATAATAGTAAATATTTGCATGTTCTTTTATATTCATTATCTCAAATGAACCTCACAACACCCAATGGCGTAAATAGTCAAGTATTATAATCTCTAATCCATCATCCACTCAGCCATCAAAGTGATCTCTCTAAAGTGCACAGTCTGAATATATCACCCCTCTCTCTCTCCCAATAAACTCCAATGGCTCCCTATTGCTTCCAGCATCAGATATAAAAATAAGCTCCTTGAGGTCCTAGACTGTCTTTTGTCTCTTTTTGTATCTCCAGTGCTTAGTAAGGTACTTGGCACATAGAAGGTGCTTAATAAATGTTGATTGATTGGATTGAATTTTTTGGCATTTAAAGCCCTTCACAATCAGCCCCCCTCCTTTTTTTTTAACCTTTCTGATCATTTTACACTTTACTCCAATGTACTCTATAATCCAGCTACACTTTCATACCTGTTGTTTTTCACACATAACATTCAATGTCCAGACTCAATACTTTTGCACTGGCTG